AGGATATTATTGTGTACTATGAAAACAATGTTAACAAAGGTCTTGAATACATTGTTAATTTATTCATATTACTGGCAACATTTTATATACATAAACAAACATGTTTAAATTCATCCCCAATATTTAAGGTATTTTTTGTGGAATTTGAGTGTTTTATATCTTCTTTGAAATTGTTAAAAAACAGAAAGTCATTAACATGTTTAAAATATTATGACATTATTTTCAGTTCCCGTTACTATTTAATGTCACATTTTGAATAGCACTGACTGTCTTATGCTATGCTCTGTTTGTTATTTGTTCTATTTTCATTAATAAAAAAAAAAAAGTCAAAAAAAAAAAAAAAAAGAACATAAAATGCATCTGAAAAATGATTGTTTATCAGTTTTATGTTGATGGTTGTATAATTTTTTTGTATACTGTTCTTGATTTTTGAGCATTAATAAAAAAAATACATCTGAAAATGAATTTGTGAGAATTCTATATAATATTCTATATAAGTCCTATACAGTAGGATCCAATAATGCTATTCTAAGTGTTTCTTCAAATGATTATACATATTTTTAAATAATTTTCTCTGAAATGCACCACACACTCAAAAAAAGTGAATAAAATATGAGTATAATGGAACTATTCAGACATTGTTAAGAATGAATTGTGACGGTTAAATGAAAAGTGTAATATTATAATCTTGATTGATATAGTAGGCTACAACATTTAAGCAGAGTAGAGTTCTAACAACTTAATTCTCCACTGTAAGCATCATTGAATTGATGTTTTTAAAAAAAAATTATTAACCCTTGGATACATGGTGTTTACTACAGTGGACTGATTCAGTGTTTAGCTATTCAGGTTGCTACATTCAAACTTTATGAAAATCCGGAGGCCAATGAGAATTCTTGGCGAATCCTACAATTATGCACCCCTAAATGGGTGAACGAACAATCAGCTCTCTATTTACAAATAACCACTGAAAATTGCATATTTTAATAATTATGTATGCCATTCCTGGATATGTGCTATTTTTGGCACAATGTCCGCAGAAAAAGCCTGCTCACGCACTGTAGTTGTAAACTATGACCAGAAATTAATATTCATAATCAGCAATGATCATCTATATCTGTGATAAGCATTGGGCAAATGTTGGGTTGTTCATGACAACTTCTTTCCATTGATGTTCACAAAAAAGAAAGAAAGATGGAAAGTAATTACTCTGAAATTGATCATAATAAAACTGGTGATGCATGACATGTTTCAGAGGTGTGGTCACAGAAAAAAACATTTTTCTAGAGAGCAAAGAGATTTCAGTAGGAAATGTACAGTATTATTTAATATTCTTACAAAAGAGAAAATCAAAAGCAAAACATTGTTTATCTATAGCCAGACTGGGTTACATCTATTTTGTAAAAATGCTTTTATAGTGATTTTACTGATGTTAGTACATACAAGTGGTAACTGTAGTGATACTACATATGAATATACCAGAGAAATCAACAACCTCAAACTGTCTCCCACTCCCTACTAGCCAAACACACTGCATCGCTGTCCAGAGTCACCGGTCTGCTCAAAGAACATGAAGTCCTGGAGGACAACACAGAGAAATGATCAAATGAAATATATGAATGGTCATATAAAGAAAGTAACAGGAAGTAGCTAAACTGGTGGATGAATGAATGTTTTGTATCATATCTCACTATAAGGAAACATGCTCCCAGCAGAACTGCTTTCATCCTCACATCCAAGTCCATGGGAAAGTTAATGCCAAAATTATCTGTATCAGTCAGTGATTCTTTGATCAAGCCAGTCCACTGTTTACTGATACGACCTACAGAATGCCCATCCTTACCGGTAACCTGCACAGGACAGACAAACGCACATAACCTTTTGTCAAACTTACATTTTTTTTGGGGGTCTGTAAAACACAACATGAATATTAACACTAGAAATAATTGTGAAATCCTTAAATAATCATTCCCCAGATACTGTATGTTGCAATGTCTCCAAAACAATCACGGTCACACATACATGGCGAACAGGCACAATCCCACATAAATACATACGTCAAAATCCACATCCCCACAGCAGCTGATGGCACACAAAGGCCCTTCGATGGACAGCACCTTTGTTTTAGACATGTCATAGATAGAGAACTTGGGCTTAAACATGTGCCAGTCTTGCTTGATGTAACCTATTGTATTCCCCGGTGGAGCCTGTATCTCCATCTTCAGTCAATGTCATATCCAGACAGGAAAAAGAACCGGAGAATGGGTTATAGAAATACATATAGAGTTTATCATATTTATAGTAAATTTTGCAATTTCAGCAATCTATCTTGTTGAAATGTTTTCTCTCTCTCTTCAAAGGTCAGAAAAACTCTACACAGAACTTCTGCAGCTGCATTCTGAGTTGTTACCTCTTGAAGACAGCAGGGGAAACAGCAGGATGTGCAGCGGTAAGGCCTGATTAAGTGAATGACTTCTTGATCAAAATTGTCTTTTATCTGCAGATCAAAACTCCTCAGAGGGCCACAGATATTCCGTGTGCAGCAGTCAGTGTTTTCTTTAGCATGGAAGATCTTTTGACCCACGCTGTTCTTAATCTCATACTGGTTATTAGTCTCAAAGCCAATAATTGCTGGAAAAGAAGAGAAATTGTTCATTAGCATTTGACTTATTTAGTGATAATTATTTAGTGATAAAAGGATAAATACAGATTTAAAGTTATTAAACTTTTTTTGTCATATATGAAAAAAAAAGTTGAAAAACTTCATATACTTTACCTTCAAGGAGCTCAATCTTTTGATGGACTAATATCTGGTCAATCTGTTAGAGCAGAACAGGAAGCAGAGATATTCCATTGTACATTTTCCTATCATAAGATACCAATTATTGTGTACACCTTTAAGGGATCGTTCAACCAAAAATGGAGATTCTGTCACCGTTTACTCGCCCTCAATTTGGATCTTTCTTCTGCTGAACTCAAAAGAAGATATTTTGAAGAATGTTGGTAACCAAACAATTTCTGGTCCCCATGACTTCCATAGATTTCTCCATACTATGGAAGTCAATGGGGACTGGCAACTGTTTGCTTACTCACATTCTTCAAAACAGAAGAAAGAACAAAGGGTGAGTAAATGATGAATTTTTGATCATTTTTGGGTGAACTGTCCCTTTAACATATATTATTCACCTATAGTGGAACTATGTCATTTTACAACTCTTACTGTTTTATTTACATTAAATAATTCATTTCAAATGGCACACTCACTTGTGTAAGGTACTCCAAACCAGGTGGCACAGCCGCTGGGTTAGAATAAAGCTCAGACATGTTGAACTCACTAAACAGCAAAAGGGTTTCCAATAAATAGTAAAGAATTCATTATTCCACACACCTCACAAATAAAACAAACCACTGTGCTTAACCGGTGTAAAATTACAGGAAATAATTTGTTTTTCATTATAGATCAACAACACAACACTCAAATGGTTATGGAGAAATCAACATACTATCTTTTTAAGAGACACTAAGTATTGTGATCCTCTAAGTATTTGAGGCCATTTCTATTATACAAAAATGTTTAATTACTTTGAAGCACAGAATATGTTAAAACATCCTGCCTACAAAAACGCAAAACAAATAGCAGAAATAAACTACAGAAATAAAAATTACATACTCAAAAATGAGATTCTTCAATTGGTCAAATTTCGTATATGCGCTTACCTTACATTAAGTAGCTGATTGTTGAAATACTGGCAAGCACAGCTTTACAGCAGATGAAGTGAAGAGTCACGCACCTCTTCTACAGCATGTGACGGGGGAAAGTGTGTATACGTGAATGTCTAGTCACACCCCGTTGCCTACACTCCCTTTGGATATTACTCACGGAAAGAGTAGTGACAGCAGTAAACAAAACAGTGCAAATGAACAACAGCTTGACTTTAAAAGAACATTTATTTTCAGAATTCACTGCTGTAAATGGTCAGAAAAATATAGCATTTCCTCATCATTCGAACATATACACCTGTACATACATGTACTATTATACACTGGGATGAGCAGGACACAAACTAAATGAAGAGAAATCTTTTTCAGTCTTAAAATCAAAAACATTTCTAGCATTGTATTTGACAGAATACACAAATAGCAAAAATCAAGCAATAAATTTGCTGATATTTGCCTGACAATGGTCAAAGGTTAATCTGAGAACATCCTGTAACAATAAAAGTGAGGATATTTGAACAGCGTTTGAGAGTTGTACAGATCTGTGTTGGAGGTATCCCTTATCTACCACTCCTATTTGCACACATCAAGTCTTTTATACAGTGCTCCATGACCCAAATAAGGTGTGTCTGTTTAGTGCGACACCTGTGCTGAGGTTCCCGCAGGTGCAAGACTGAAAAACACTGGATTAGAACAACATCTCTTCATTGGAAGTGGAGTTGCTTTAACGGATGCATGTGCATGGTATTTGGAGGGAAATGGGGTTAAATGTCAAGAAAACTTAATGGTCCTAAAATATGCTCAATTTTCTTTTGGCTTGAAGAGAAATATGACCCAGACACATCCTTGACAGGTTTTGTGAGATTCACCCATCTAGACATTCATCACTGAGGGTATATATATATATATAAATATAAAAGTGTATAATATGCAAATAAGAGACAATAGCTGTGAAATACCAGAGGGCCAAGGGAGATGTTCATTTATTTATCCACATAATATGTGGTCATAGTGCACATTTGCCACCAATTATAATTTTGGGTTTGTGTACAATCAAAAACACACCACTCATATAGTAGTGCTAATAAGTGCAGTTTTAGTACACCTTAAACCTGATAAACACTTAATGCCATAAACCAAGACCAGTCTTTCAGCACAGAACAAAGGAGAACAAATGGAGTTATATATATATATATATATACACACAAACATATATATATATATATATATATATATATATAAAAATATATATATATATATACACACACACATATATATATATATATATATATATAAAAAAAACAGATATGAGAACATCTCATCCATTTAAATAGACACAAGATCTGCACCCACACATTCATTCTCAGTGGTCTATTTTGACCATGGAGCCCTGAGAGTCCCTGCATCTGTAGCAGTAGAAAATGTCAGGTACGTTGGACTTCTTAATCTTAGCGCAGGAGAGATGGACCCAAATGGAGCACTCATCACATTCAATCATGGGACGTCCGGCAAAAGGCTTCCCGCAGTAACACGTAACCAAATCCCAAGAATCATCACCTACAATGGATAGAACAAAATAAGGTTATGATCAGATGTTTTTTTTTTTTCAAGGACAGAGATAAAATAGGACTTGACGGTATGACAGGCAAAAAATTGGTTTACATTAATGACAGAAATGTTACTATAGCTATATACATTAAATACAGCACTAGCATACCAAGTCTAAACAGACACTTACCAGACTCAACCATAATATCCTCATCAGTCACCAATGTGTCCGTTTCACAAGAGCTCAGGTCTGTTTCTTGATTGGACTCCAGTTTAAGCCCCTCCTCATGCATGTGAACGGCCCGTTCAGTTAGCCCCTCCTCCTTTTGAAACCCCTCGTTTAAAGGGCTCGTGGATGGAAAGCGTCTCTCAGCCTTTACTGATCTCTTCATTTTTTTTAGTGCTGCTTTCGCTTGTTTGTGTGCCCTTGCCTCTGAGATGCTTTTCCTCGGCCCTCCTAAAGATAAGCGTCCAAGTTTCTTCACCTTCTTCCTCTCAGCTTTACTATCCAGATGGATCTGGTTCAGAGAGTCTTTCAATCTCATCTTGTCTAAGGAGCTGTCCGACTGAAGATGGCTGAACTCTGTGCTGCTGCTGCTGTCTGTCTCAGCTTTGTGGACCAAACATTGAATGTTGTTGAGGTCAGAGTGTGCTTCTGTCCAGCTATCCTTTACAGACCCTTCGGCTGAGAGCTCAGAAAGCTCGTGTGCACATGGAGATGAAGACGGAGACCATGAACTCTCCTGGAAACACAAATCACCACAATTTACCCTCATAATCCTTTCAAAATCTGCATACAATTTTGCATTGCATGGTGGAAAGTAAGCTTATATTTTACACATAAATAATTCAAAGTGTACATAAACTACAGAAAAAAAACTGTTAGGGAATTAAAAAAAAATATTCATGAGAAATTGTATTGGAATGTATCACTATATAAATTTATAAGAACATACAATCGGAGATTTACCAGTATCACGAACACAGGGTTATTTGGCAAACAAAAAAAGAAAATGATTTTCCTTGAAACTAACTAGTAACGTATCTGCCATTGCCAGGCTCAGACTACAGATTATGGTGGGATATTTGAAACCGCAATACCAAGGAAGTTTACTCACTACAATATGGTGCAAACACATGTAACATTTAGGATGCTTTTGATTAGAGCCCGACCGATATATCGTTTTGCCGATATTATCGGGCGATATGAGCCTGTCGCCGATATATCGGTATCGGCGAATATGCCGCAGATATAAATTTTTTTTTACAGAACATAACGCACATAAAATGCTTGAAATGGTGTAATTACTTTGTTTGTCCAGCAGAGCGCACTCCATTGTTTGCTACTGGCGACCTGGATGAAGCGCTTTAAAGCTTAAGTCTATGGGAAACCATTGAAACTTTGAACGGCCATATCTCTGTAATGGCGCGGCGAATCCGCACTAAATTCGGGGGATCCCTTCAGCTTGAGGAACCCTCTCGAACGCGAATTGAGTGTACGTCTAGAGGCCCGCTTTCGAATGAGACCACTCCCGCGTCGACAGCCCCCGGGGTTCGGGAGGTTAAATTCACGGTCTGGCGCCGAACGATCAAGCGATCCCGGGGGGCTACCGACGCGCGTAGGGTGGCGTTTGAGATGGTGCCCCCCCACCAAATGTCTACCAAATGTCTTGCCATAGGCTTGTTTTTAGCAAATTTCTAATTTTAGGCAGTTTCTATAGTGTGATCTTAATGACAATGTCGAGAGCGCATAATGTTACGCGATCCATGTGCGCGAGGACGAATCTCTCCACTCCCAAGCGGATTTCCTTCACTCACCCAAAACTGGATGTGTGCTTTTAACATACATTGTTCCGCAAACACATTTTCTAACACACGCGCGCATTGCATGTATTCTGACAGTGCTGCACGAACTCGCAGCAGATCTGCTTGTTAACCAGGGTTCAAAGTCCAAAGAAAATCTGCGCTGATACAGTCGTCCGTTGCTCAGTCACATTTTTATGAATGCATGTGACAATGCGATACGTACGACGTATTCGTAATGAGACTCATTTATCAACATTCATAAATGTTAGTATTGTAATTTTACTGTTGTTCTGTAAAATAAAATAAAAAGTAAGACAATAATAATGATAATCTTTATTATAACATACACACGATGTTCAAATTAGGATCTGTAATATTTTCTAATGTTTTAAAAGAAGTCTTTTCTCAGCAAGGTTGCTTTTAATTGTACAGTAAAAAAAAAAAACATGCCTGATTCAAGATGGCCAAAAATTATTATTTTACACACTTTTTAAAAGTGTGTTAAGTTAAATTGTGCTTTGTTGGTATAGATCAGGAGTAGGCAAGTTCGGTCCTAGAGAGCCGCAGTCCTGCAGAGTTCAGTTCCAACCCTAATCAAACACACCTGAACAAGCTAATCAATGTTTTCAGGATTACTAAGGCTATAGGCAGGTAGACTTGTGCCGGTATTCGGTAATGCGATATCACGGTAATGAATATGCAATATCGTGGGCACTAAATACCGTGAATAATTATATATTACAAATTATTCAGAATTTTTAATGCATTTTAAGAATACTTTTCCCATTAACTGGTCAAAATGCACAACACCGCTGTATGCTGCGTGAAAGACGCGTGCGCACTCTGATGTAAACAAGCGCGGACGAGAAGCACATGGCGGAACATGTGAGAGGCGCTCTGGATGAAAGCGCACTTCCACTATCTGACAGCAGATGGCGCTAAACTGCATAACAATAATAATAATAATAATAATAATTCATTTAAATGCAGCCGTTACCCCGGAAACCCTGTAAAAAAAGCAGCTGTACTACTTTCTGTTCCTGATCGTGTTTAAATGATTTAAACAGACATTCAGATTTGTGTATTTGCTATGATGTTCATCACAGCACCAAATATTTAAGACTTAATAGGCTATTTATTTTCAAACTTTTTTTACATTTTAATCTGGACTACAACATGCTCTAGATATTGTTTGAAAGTGTTTTGATTCTTTATTGTTCGGTCACACTTTACATTAGGGCTTCATTAGTTAACATTAGTTAATTCATTAGTTAAACTGCCAATGAAAAATTCTTCTGAACATTCATTAATCTTAGGTATTCCAATATTTAATAACAGGTTGTTAAAATCGAAAGTTGCAACCGTGTTATTTAATGAGTCAACATGAACTAAGACTTGTATTTTCTAAACAAAGATGAATAACTTCTGCAGCAAATGTAGCTATTGCTCATTGTGAATGTTAATGCATTAACTAAGGTTAACTAATGAGATCTTATTGTAAAGTGATACCTATTGGTCTTTATAGTTAATTTGCACTTTAATCTGTGTACAACTTAACTTTATAAATTTTTCTGTATTGCTTTATTCTTTATACATTTTTCTGTATTGCTTTATTGCATTTAAATGTTCAGTTATTTTTGTTATAAGAAAAAAATTATTAAACCTGTTAAACTGTATTATGACAGCACTTTTTTGTAAAACTAAATTTCAATACCGTGATAAAAGCATTAGCAATTAATCGCAACATGAAAATTTGATATCCCTATAGGCAGGGTTGGAGCTGAACTCTGCAGGACTGCGGCTCTCTAGGACCGAACTTGCCTACCCCTGGTATAGTGTCTGCTAGAATGTTAAAAATGTTCAGCGTTAAATATTTTTAAATTGTTTTGTAATTGATTTTTTTTTTTTTTGAAAAGCAAGACAAAACAGTAAAAACCACATTTTGGCTTTTTAATGTATGCAATGGTGAAATATTTTTTTGGCTAAATACATGGGGGAAAAAACAAAAAAAACATGCCCAGCGTTTAGTGTTGTTTGGTTTTGGTTTCGGCCAAGAATTTTCATTTCGGTGCATCCCTATTTTTTATTGTATTTATTTACAGAGGTATATTATGTCACACTTCACATTTCTCTAGTAAGTTTCGTCTGTGTGTGAAGACAGTAGTGCAAATCCGTGAATGAATGTTCCTAAGTGAAAAACTTCAACAGAATAAAGTTGAATGGAATTGAATTAAAGTTGAATAAACTTCAACTTTATTGTTCAGTGAAGTGATGTCACTCATTTTGGATAATAAAGTTTATTGTTAAATGCCCTGCCTCCATTACATATCTGTTACGTCATTATAAGTGTTTGATCACCACATTTGAGTGATCATTGCAAAAAATGTGTTATATATATATATATATTCTTTTTATGTATATACTGTATTCTATATATAGTACCAGTCAAATGTTTGGACACACGAATGGGAAAGTGTCCAAACTTTTGACTGGTATTGTACTATAATATACACAAAGAATATCGGCCGATATATCGATATCGGCTTTTTTTACTCCCTAATATCGGTAGCGGTCCCAAAAAAACCATATCGGTTGGGCTCTACTTTTGATATTAAGTTTTGCTGGTTAGCTTTGTCCTTGACAGGGTACAAGATGACCTACAATCTAAAACATGAAATTTCTGAAATTGTTTTGTTCAAAAGAAATAACGGTAAATTAAATACTAGGAAATTAATATAAAATAGGAAATATACAAAGACAGTTTACTACCGAAAACTACAGTTCAGTTCAATTAACAACAAAAACACTAAAATGGTCCAAGAACTGGTAACTTAAACGGGGTTCGTACAAATACTGCAAAATAAAATTCCAGGACTTTCAAGGCCTTGCACTACTTTTTTGGTTTTCAAGGACTAAAATCAGATCTCACTTATCAATGTTGTTATTATGTTTCAAATGCTAATAAATAAACTAATAAAACAAAATGGTACAAATAAAGTGCAGCACATGCAAAGAATGCAATGGCTGTGGCAAATTTAACATTTGAAAGGATACTATGGCAAAGTTATTGCTTTCCTTATTCAAACTGATTTTTTTCATGAATACATGATTGACCTGAAGAATGAAAGCTATATCATGCACTTGGAAAATTATGAGCTTTATCACGCTCATAGACACTAGGGGTGTGACAATACACTTAGCTCACAAGGTGAGACAAAAATGCAGATACTTGGTTCACTAGACCGAGAGAATGTTTTAATACCTTAAGAAATTTTCAAATGACAAAATATTTCTTTTAATCACAAAAAGTAAAACAATGCAGTTGTATTTTGAAATGTTTCAACTAATCTAGTGCTTAACTAATGATTATTTTGCTAATTAAGTAATCTACTGATAATTTTGACAAGTGAGTAATCTGATATTTTTTAGTAATACAAATAGAACTAAGTGGAAAACAGGCTTTAATATGACTAATATATATAAGTAACGACGAGGCAATAATAATTGGCCTCAAATAAAGTATCAAAACCAAGTACATGGTTTTATCGAACAACACTTAAATACATAATGTAACGTCTATATTTATAACAAATACCTGCAGAGGGCGCCAAAAGGTTTCATGTGATTCAACCTTTAAATCCATTTAATTTTAATTAGGGATGCACCGATACCCCTTTTTCCAGTACTCGCCCGATACGATACTTTTATTTTTGGTACTTGCCGATACAGAGTGCCGATACTGATATTTTTATTGCATTTGTACATTTTTTAAATATTGGGTACAGAAACCAAAAGAGTATGTATAATGTTAGTTGGTTAACTTCATTTATCAAATAGATACATTCACCTTCAACATTTCTCACATTTTAACGAGTACGAGTACAGGAGACCAGTATCGGGCCCGATACCGATACCAGTATCGGTGCATCCCTAATTTTAATATTTGGCCATATGCAAAGTCAGAAACTTTTATTTCAAAACTTTTATTTTGAAATCGTGATGTACAATAAATCGCATATTTAGAAATATGTTGATGTATTCTCCTGTGTTGGCATAGGTTTAAATGATTTAAGTTATAAAATCAAGTGAGTTTTCCCAGATGAATGTTAAGCAACCCAAACTCACAGCATATGCAGAGGAAGCCCCTTTCACACATACAGTCTTTACTGGTAAATTACCATTAAGAGATCATGTGTGAACAGGACCTTTTCAAAAATCCCGGTAAATTTGTTTTGGCAATCATATTGTTCTTATGGAGATGACGTGATTACTCTGAGCTGTTTACAAAGCTCCGCTGCTTTTTTAAAATGGCTTTTCTATGTAAATATAGATTACGCTAGATGGAAATCTTTGACCATGTGTCGCGCTCGAGACCCAGGCTTCTTTTCCATTCATCAGCTGCGACTGCGATTGGATACTAATGCGCGTCTCGTGTTTATAAAAGCAAAAACTTCTGATTGGCTAGTAATGTTAGTTTGGTTGAGAGTGAAAGCTGTGTTACTCTCATACATTGGTAGGCGAACTCATGAACTCGAACGTGATATCAACAAATGTTTTTAAATGTAGGACAACTATCTTTTTTTTTCTCCTCGCAGCCAAACGCCGCACGCCGGAGAGAACTTTAAGCCCTGCATTAATTTTCACATAAACTTTCACTGTCAGATGAAGAAAACTATAAGTTTAATACATTAGTCCCAAAAGTGTGTGAGATATGGGAAAGCGGCTAAATATATTTTACACAAGTATTTTTGAGACTAATTTAATGCACGAAAAAAAGTGGTAAATCCTCAGTTGATGTCTGAATTAAAAAGTTTAACTTTTGTAACTTCTGTTATCTCTTAAAAACGATTTTAAAAATGTATTAAATTGTGTGTAATTTGACATTTCCAAAGTTTGGTTTCCATACAAAAAGTAAAGCATTTTTAAAAATAAATGTTTATGTATCTCTTCTGGGTCAAAACAGACCAGAATGCATTATTAGGGTTTAGTATTTTTCCCCAAAAAAAACACACACACTCAGCGGTGCGTGTCATGAAGATGGTCAAAGTTAACACTTAACTGCTGTGCAAAAAGACTTATATTTTATGACATTCAACTCACTTCTTTTTGAGGTGGAATGTACCCAGCATAGGCCAGGACAAAGCTGCAAAACTTATTGAAATCCTCCACGGTCCTCTTCCTACGCTCTGGAGGCTGGAACAAAGAAAATGGACATTAATAGTGACCAATCATTAATAGTCCATTTAGATTGATACCTAAATACCCGTCTGTCTCCAATCTGAAACCATGTTCAATACCAAAATATTTTTGCCAATTACTGTCAGTGATTACAGGCAGACACTGATATTATCCACATCCCATCCCCCCATGTTCGGCCACATGTGGCCTAAGCTATAAATAAGTAACGAGCCTGTGTCACCATTCAAAACCATTACAGAATACAACTGCGACAGCACTTACCAAAGCCTCCGTTTTACATTTCCGAACGGTGTCTGTAAAAGAAACAGAAGAAATCGGTATTACTGGCAGAACCTGTTAATGTTAAACGCTGAAACCACAATCTTAAATGAACTGTCAAGTTAGCTTTAGCCTAGACTAATTGGATACCGAGTAACTTAAAAGTCAGTTCCTTACGTGATTATTGGAATGCTACAGTTGTAAACGTAAGAAATTTCGAAACATTAAACATTGTTGCAAGTGTTTTGAGGACTCATTTGCTCGAGTAAACACATTAACATCCGAAGAGAAGCTGCTTATGCTAAAAGCTAAAGAGCAGACGCAACCGTGTCAAGTCAGCAAAACATGGAAGCGAATTGGCATCGGAACTATTCAAGTATGCTTAGAAAATGATGTTATGTATCTGGAGATAGTAGAGAGGCCATGTTAAGTGTACTTAACCTAAGAGGATAGCTCACTTCTAGCACGAGTAGTTAATCCAATTCAGGAGCGCTTTGTTAAATTGGTGTTACGCGAAACTCGTTTAAAACCTCGAGTACTGGTGTGACACTAAAATAAAATGAAAAGAGAAGTATGTAACGTTATACCATTTTTAAAAAGCACATATTTACCTTGGTGATGATCCATAATACCCAACATGGTGGAGTAGTACCATAAAGTTGGGTTCTTCTTGATGCTGGCTGTTTGATTTCCTGCTAATGATCTTGTGGAGTCAATTTGAGGAAAAGCGAAATGTCTTCCAGTTGAAGTCCGGTTGCTTTTGAATTTAACAGATAACTAATAAGCTACCGCACAACCCAAAGGATGTCTGCCATATGCTCAGAGTGGTCTTGTGTTCAAAACTTGTAACACTAAACAAATGATCAGATTTGTCGACGATTAGATCATGGTTCAGCTCAAATTAAGCTGAACCGTGTATTATTTCGCCCAGACCTCAATTATCGAGGATGATGATGGTGCTATCTTCGATCCTCGTTGATCACCAGCGAATGGTGGTTTTAGATCTACAAAACTGCTGACACCTTGACTGTATCCACAAACGCGAAGCAAAGACGAAAAAGTACTACGTTCGCTATCAATTTTCGAATATCGAAAAATCAAAATCGAGCTTTTTGCAACTGCATTCAACAAAGTCTTGAACGTCTGGGTTACGCGCGGTCTCAACAGGAATCACCCCGTGACGCAACCACGCAAAGAGCGCCAGATTCCTTGCGTGATGCTTATTGATGTGAACGTAATGAATATGTATGACAGATCGTCAAAATTAATCCAAAATCTGACAAAATAGACAACGCATTTTTTTATTCGTACGCAATTCTATACAATGGTGGAACACACAGTGCCCAGGCTTTGTAAATGTCAACGGTTATAATGCGTGGCTGCTTGCAGTAACGTCCTTGTGTCCATAAAATGAACACAGGAAATGGAGAAACTGTGGTTCGATGGGCGCCATGTTGGATCAGATGCGCTATACATATCCATGCAAAAACTCCTCTAGCGGAGCCATAATGGCGCACTGTCTTTTGCACTGTGAAACTCGGACTTCCTTAATCCTGGCAGGTCAGCTGACCTATGTCGTGACAGTTTTTTTCCCTCGCTCCACTGCTTGATAGGATATTCCAAGGATTGTCGTTAATTTCATGCAAATACAGTAAGACTCATCGTTTCCTTTTTTTTATACAATTGTATTTTTGTTTATTGCTATCAAACCGGGTAAGTTAGTTTGATCCTATTTTCTACGCAGGTGAAATCTGCTCAGTTGCTGATCAGGCTTTGCTAGTAGCCATCTGTCACCTGACATGTTCCTTACGACAGCCTGCTAACGTAGATCTCGTAATTCAGTAGTTTTGGTCGTGTGAAGGCGTTTATTCATATATTTATTTATTTTAGCTGTGGTGGGTTTCGTACAGCAATCAAATTCCTAACATTTTCATTTGATTTACAGCAGGAATATAGTTTGAATCTGAATGAATACCGGTTGGCCATAGTGGTCCTATTAGTATTATGGTGTTGTCATCGAGAAAGTCTTTAAATTTGTCATCGGTAATTGAAATATTTACCATAACAATGAGATTGAAACTCACATTTGCTTTCGAGTATATTGATTAGAACTCGAACAAAATATTAGACCCTGTGGTTCTATTGAAATTATGAAAATGGAAACGTCTTGTAATGGTGATTTAAGGTTTGGCTTGTGTCTTGAACCACTGAAAGATATTGGTGCAGTTTTAATGAATGAACTGTTTTACACTTTCTCCTTTAGGATTGCTAACACAGAGAATGGATTTTTCCAAGCTGCCTAAGATCCGAGATGAGGACTGTGAGGGTCAGTTCGGATATGTGCATGGAGTTTCAGGCCCAGGTAAAAATAAAAACATGTTCTGAAGTCACTTTGTTACAAAATTGAACATACAGCGCAACATTTATCCCATAAGCAGTTTATTTTGACTGACTGATGTCGGTCATGAGATGGACAGGTTGCATCTGTGTGTCTGTTCATTGCAGTGGTGACGGCCTCTAGCATGGCAGGTGCGGCCATGTATGAACTGGTGCGTGTGGGCCACAGTGAGCTGGTGGGAGAAATTATCCGATTGGAGGGAGATATGGCAACCATCCAGGTATATGAGGAGACCTGTATCCTTTACCATTCATGAGTGATTTACGTACTCTTCCATGCTTGAAAAGAGTTTAAACTTTATTTTATCATGGTCCATCATGGTGCTGGCAAAGTATATTTTTGTATGTTGTATTTGTCTATATGTTTTCCTGAGCTATCTACAGCTGGAGTTTCTGTTGGAGACCCTGTGCTCCGCACTGGAAAGCCCCTCTCTGTGGAACTGGGGCCCGGAATCATGGGCTCTATCTTTGATGGTATTCAGCGTCCCCTCAAAGACATCAATGACCTCACAAAGAGCATTTACATCCCCAGAGGGGTTAACATAGGAGCTCTCAACAGGGACATCAAGTGGGAATTCTCTCCTTTTCAGAACCTGAGGGTAAGGATAATGTGTGTGTCTTTCTCAGTATATATATATAGTAGGGCTGTCATGCACCATTTTTTTTATTTGGCACTAGTAACAGTTCTGACACTTCTTCTTAGGATTGTAAGTCATGATAGTCTAGTGGTGTAATATAATAGCATGCATGGGGCCGGGTTCAAATTCTGATTTAATATACATTTTTATAATGAACCAAGCTAAATTGCAAATGAACTCAACTGCCAGTAATCGCCCTCCATTGTCATGTATGGAAAACAGTGGAATTGACTGTTTGATAACATTTGTATTTCATGGGAAAAACACAACCCCAAATAAAAATATCTATTATAATTTATAATAAAATGTTACTTTCACTGTAATAATTACTGAAATGTTTTCAGACCCAGTTATATATGTTTGAATTATGAACCAAAGCAAAAACATTCATTAATGCCTTTACTGACGCTATTCCACAATATTAAAAATATTATAAGTTTTCTGTACCTTTTAGAAACAAATTAATTTTAACCATCAGCACTGGACACCGCAAAGTTAAACTGCACTTTATGTCTGCGTTTGGAAGCTGATTTTGTAAAACAGAGGCTGTTTTCTGTAGTCCTTAAAGGGATAGTTCACCCAAAAATGAAAATTTGATGTTTATCTGCTTACCCCCAGGGCATCCAAGATGTAGGTGACATTGTTTCTTCAGTAGAACACAAACGAAGATTTTTAACTCAAACCGTTGCAGTCTGTCAGTCTTATAATGGAAGTGAATGGGAATCACGGCTTTGAGAGTAAAAAAAAACATACACAAACAAAACCAAATTAAACCCTGCGGCTCGTGACGATACATTGATGTGTAAAGACACGAAACGATCTGTCTGTGCAAGAAACTGAACAGTATTTATATCGTTTTTTTACCTCTGATGCACTACAATGTCTGAACTATCCTGAGTGGGTCCTCGACAGCCGGTGCGTGAGGCGTCTTCTTCTTCTTGCTTTACAGCGGATCGCAGACTTATAAGTGCATTACCGCCACCTATCTCTCAAATGGACCATTGACACTCTATCTACAATCTCAATTACTTTACACATCAATGTATTGTCACGAGCCGCAGGGTTTAATTTGGTTTTGTTTGTGTATGTTTTTTTGACTCTCAAAGCCGTAATTCCCATTCACTTCCATTATAAGACTGACAGACTGTAACGGTTTGAGTTAAAAATCTTCGTTTGTGTTCTACTGAAGAAACAAAGTCACCTACATCTTGGATGCCCTGGGGGTAAGCAGATAAACATCAAATTTTCATTTTTGGGTGAACTATCCCTTTAATACACCACACCTGCAACACATATTCCCTAGCACTCGTCATTTTCACAAAAGGTTGACATTTAAATGGATATATAATACATATTACAATGGAAATATAATACAAAATATTATTTGTCATTAAAATGGCATCTTTCACCAAAAGGTAACAACTTTGGGGAACTATTAATTTTGTACCTACAATAATTTTGGAACTTAATTATCATATGTAAAGAATGTGTATTTTAGTCTTTTTGGAAATTGCATTAAAAATCCATTTGGGTCATAAATCTTAGCAGCCACATGCCCTTGAATGTGTATGACGTTTGTATTGAAATTATGCACTGGATGTTTGTTTACTTTAATTGGACTCTTTCATTATTTTTTTCAGGTTGGAAGTCACATTACAGGAGGTGATATCTATGGATTTGTGTACGAGAACTCTCTCATCAAACACAAGATCATGCTGCCCCCTCGCAGCAGGGGAACAGTAACCTACCTCGCTCCGCCAGGAAATTATGATGTCTCTGTGAGTCAAGCTCACGATCATCCTCGCGTGTCCTGAAATACTACCACACTTTTATAGACAAGCATGCAAGAGTAGTTCACATCAATTTCAAATGTATTTGTATAGCACCTAATAAAATAAAGAGTTGGATGGAAAAACTCCCTCAGATGTTTAGGTAAGATGAGGAAGAAACCTAATATTACTAAATACTGGAAATTCCCTTTTCATTGTGTGTGTCAGGATGTGGTACTGGAACTGGAGTTTGAAGGAGTCAAGGAGAAGTTCACCATGGTGCAGGTGTGGCCTGTGCGACAGGTGAGGCCTGTTACTGAAAAACTACCTGCAAATCACCCCCTGCTGACTGGACAACGAGTACTGGACGCCCTCTTTCCGTGAGTCTCAAGCACACACACACATTATTGTTCCACATCTTAATAAAGTTTGTTGTGTGCTTAACTCTTTTTAAAAATATTTTTGGTTTTCTCAGTTAATTACGCAGACTTGTTGGCCCACTGGTTAATTATCCCGTTAACAATTTTTTCCCCCGATTGATATTTCCGTAATCTTGCATTGGTAACAAGCCCCCACAAGCTTTCATGCTTGGGGTTGCCATATGTTAAGATTTTAAATCCCCCAATCAGAGCTTTTCTCTTAAATGGATACATTTTCTGTCTTCCCAACCTGGCAACCATGTGTACATGCTCTTTCTGGACTGCAGAAAAAGCACTGATAATCTGAAAACACAGAAAAAAATGTATGTTGGAGTTTAGCGATTGACACAGTGACATTCTGTTCCAATGAAAGTGTAATATAGCCGATTTTTTTTTCTTGAAATGAGCCATTGTTCCATGTAAAGGAAGGCGGAGCCTCAGAGCACATCTGCCTATTACGTAATCACCATGGACCAGTGGTAATACGAAGGTGTTTTGCATCCGGTGCAAACTTTTCCGGAGAGTTCGCTTTGGCAAGCCATTTCAAACTCCCAAAACGAACGTCGTTTTGCCCTGATTTTGTTCGAAATGACGTCACATCAGTTCGTTCTTCGATTTCATTTGAAGTATATCGGAGCCTTTAATGAGTCCGCTAGCTCTATTTGCTGCTGCTAAATCTGCAAACAAACCTTCTCATTGATGAACTATAATAAATATACAAGTATAATGAATCATGAATGAGAAAAGGTAGAAGAGATCAGTTAAAACATGCATATTAGTTGACGTTCTCTTGATGTGAAAGTGCAATAATTCTGATGAAATGTAAAAAGTAATTTCTCAAAATATTGGTTAATAATTGTGATTATAAATTTTTAACTAAGAAATGATGATGATCAGTTTAAAGATTATTTTATAGTCCTAATTCTTGCCGTTTTGCAGTTGTGTCCAAGGAGGGACCACAGCCATTCCAGGAGCCTTCGGCTGTGGTAAGACCGTGATCTCTCAGTCTCTCTCCAAATACTCCAACAGTGATGTCATCATTTATGTGGGTTGTGGAGAGCGTGGAAATGAGATGTCTGAAGTATTAAGAGACTTCCCTGAGGTTGGTCTGGCACTGGGTTTAATGATGCTATATCTGGTCACTTTGATTAATACAATGTTTATGAATGTGATATGAAATTCAAAACTGGGGAAGTT